AAAGGGCTCATTGGAATTCCTCGGACCATGCAGTCCTGGAGCCTTCTACGGTGAACTAATTTCCCGAGAAAATGTTGATAAATATTCAAGGTATCTGGATCGAATTGTGATTAGCTCGAAATCATTTCCAATGATGTACTGGGACAAATTTGTTCGACGGAAGACTCGTCAGAAGTTCAAAGATCAGGTTCGACTTAATTTAATTCCTTGAATATTGTCATTCAAAAGGGCGGGAAGATATGCTCTTGGAAAAGAATGAAATCAAAGGAATAGTTTCCGCCCATGTTCTGACCAAATAATGGCTAAATAATTTGACGGTCTCTCCGGAGCACACAAATCCTTCAGATCACCTAATAAAGACAGTTGATGTTTACTAGCTTTGCCACTAACGGTCGTATTTACCGAGTATTAGAAGTTGTTCTTGTTTTCAGGTTGATGAAGAAATCCTGACATCCATACTTGGCGAAGAAAAAAGTTCTGGAGATAACAGTTTCGATTACCGGTAGGTCTACATTTATTGTGAAGAAAGAGGCTCGATAATGTCGACCGCACATTCATTATGCTTGAACAGGGACCGGTTCTTCGAAGCATAAAGGAAAGCCGCGACCACCCAGCAGCAACTATTCTGCTTTTTGAATTCTTCCGTTTTGAAAATAACCGTCGAACAATGAAATCACCACAAACCATATAAAGCGAAGCAATTTTCGCGTGCGCCAGTGATTTCAAAGGAAGATTTCACACTAAGGTCAAAGGTCGAAGAAGAGGAAACTTACCTAGTGGAAAAATAGGCGAACCTTCTAAAAGTACGGACAAACATGCAACTCGCAATGTAGGATATGCTCCCGGCGGCCTATTTGGCCCTCCTTGCGGCAATATCGGCGCGGTACGCCCACCGACTGGCAAAACCCTGGAAAGTCTCCAGCTGTTCAGGAGAGAGCGTTAATGTTGAAGAGGGCAGCATCGATGAGAGTCGCATCAGTGCGGAAATCAACGGGCAAGGAAGGGGTCCCATTTCTCGGGTTCTGGGCCATTTCTAATACATAATTTTCTTCATCCCAACACCCTTACCTCCTCTAACTTGATTCTAATTGGTTGCCTTCTAATCTGTGAATCACCCTCAAAAGAAAAATGTTGCGTATCCAAACAACTTCGCTTGAAGACGATCACATCACTTCTGGTCCTGCATATGTATTTATTTTTCTGTTGACTAGAAAATTGACGGAACATATTTCAGGTACACTTGCTGGCTTTGGATTGGCGTAATCTTTACCAACGGCCAATTCCTCTATCGTGTCGGCTATCTGCTCTGTTCGGCTTGTGGAGTGTTCATTTCACCATTCTTCTACGCATTCCATCTGATCGACGTAGTGCTCTCCTTCCCTATGTTAAAAGCAATTCTCCAATCTGTCACCCATAACCTGCAACAGGTGAGGTTTTTCGGGCTTTTACATTGCGTATTGGATTTGTTAATGTCTCACATTTCACTACGCAAAATAAGCAGAAGGAATAAGAGAAAAAAAGGGATTTCATTCAAAGTTAACTTTCGATCTCACTAAGCAATGTACATTTCTCTAAGAGACATTTCTTCATTAGGTGATTAATCTCCTCTGTGTAGCCGGCGGAAGTGGTGTAGTGGCAAGCACGCGGAGCGGTCCGGGGATCAAATCCTGGGTCGTGAGTCGCCGGGCCAACCAAGCCTTCCATCCCTCCGGGGTCGGTTAATTGGTACCAGACTTGTCTGGGAGGATAAAAACACTGACTTGTACATCGGCTGGCCCCCGCAAGTCATTGTATAGGCCACATCGCATTCAAACGCCACTACGAATGTACAAATGGAAGTAGAATGCGTGAACTGCGAATGGGTTTATCCTTATACCTTTATGTAGCCGTCGTGATGTTTTCCAATGGTGATGCAATGCGCAAACAGATTGAGCCTCATATATTCCTATCTCGAAAGCAGGGTCAACCGTCACGTTGGACCGACATTGGACCGACGTTGACCGCTCTCCGCGCCGGCATTCGCACTCGCCTTGCGCGAGCCGTCTGTGTCTCCGTGCGTACGTTCACTCTCGGCATTACTCTCACACGCTAGAGAGCCATGCGTTGGACTTTGTCCAACGGACGGTTGACCCTGCTCGAAAGGCTTACCTTGAAGGGTTACGGTCACAGCCTTTCGATGGGATTACAGTGTCGCTTGGATACAGTCGGGGTCAGAACCTGCTGTGGCACAGTTTTGGGCCGCTTGGCATTCGCTGGCTGCAACGCTCGTACGCGACTCGCTAGCGATAGCTCCATTCGGTAAACTCTGTAACCGGGCCGAAACGGAAAACCGATGTGATGCATCCTTGAGGTGAATTATCAACGGCTGGATTTCGTCCAAGTCCCATTTAGATTGCATTGTTTAGGTTGGTCTCCAAAGTGACGACAAATGAGGAGAAGGAATCGAAAAAATGTCTGTCCCGTCTACAAGCGTGCCCAGCACATGTTGACGAGCATGATGGAGCAAGTGAAAAATGTGACTGTGCGGGCACAAGACCCTAAGCCTATGGTATGAGTGTCAGGTTTCATGCTTACACATTCACTTATGTTTAGGCTCAGGGTTAGGCTTGGGAATAGGTTTAGGAGCAGGTGTTAGTGTTAGCGTTGAAGGTGTTTTGATTTGATGTCACCTGACTTGAGGAGGTGAACTGATTTAGGCCTTATTACGCCATGTGTTAAGCACGTAAATCAGCTTCGTCGTAGGGTGTTCATTCTCTTGCTGTTGCTGCTCTCTAGGTTGAGTGAAGTCTAGGTCTACTGGAGCACCTGCACGGTAGGCCTTTGTTCTAACTAGAGCGTTCAGTTTGAGTGCTGGCGGGTTGATGTTACGGTTCAAACTCGGAGGGGCACTTTTTTTCCTGTTTGTCTGACGCTTCACACTCCAGCCAATACCGAAGTGCCTCACACACTTCATCCCGAAGCTTGCTTTTAATTTCCGCCTAGAAAAGAATTCTCGTGAGCTTTCTTCGACAATGGGCTCTTCCTGTAGAATATACCAGCTACACAATTATGTAGGACTTGACAGCGAACGCAGATTGCACAGCAGTATCATTGGGTCACCTCACTAGTTCTCGTTGGTTGTTCTAAAAGTCACATTTCCCTTGTCACATTCCGAAAGAAAACTTAGGAAATTAAACTGTATTTTTTTCCAGTTGATCCTCACCATCATGATGGTTTTGGTGGTTGTGTATCTGTACACAGTGATCGCCTTCAACTTCTTCCGGAAATTCTTCGTTCAAGAAGGTGAAGATGGAGGGGAAGGCCGGATCGCAATTTCGTGTTGACCCGACAACCCAGCTCTACGGTACTGGTATTTTCGGTCATATTTTAATACAGTCTTCTAGCAAAAACTGTTCAGTTTTGTTGCATGAGACATGAGATTTGATTACCGGGTTTCAAAAATTGGCTTCATTCGCATGGTGGGACGGAAGTGAAGGGCGAGCCAAATTATTAGTGCGTGTAACGTATAAATCCTTCTATTTTATAAAGCGCTAACTTTGTGTGTCGGTTTGTGTATCTGTATGTGTGTGTGTGTATGTGTGTGTATGTATGTATGTGTATGTGTGTCCGTCCGCAAAATGAAGTGAGTGAGAAGGAAGCTCATGGGATAAACAAACCGCTAACAAATCGGGTAGCTTACAGGATTTGAGATATCAATGTTTTGTAGCAGGATAGTTGTGATAACACTCTTAGGGCTATATAAACACCTGCTTAGCACACTTCCGTTCATTCCACATGGTGCTGCAGTGGCAGCTGGAGGGCAGTGGAGAGAGGAAGGGAGGATGAGGGAGGGAAGCGAAAAATCTACCGTCATATCATGATTGTGTCCCTTCTACTGTACGAAACACCATTGTGTTGCATACGCGTCACTTCCAGGAGGTGTTGGTGTCACAGGGAGGAAGGGACCATAGCGGAGGATAGAAAGCTTGCGCAGGAAAGGAAG